GTGAGATAAAGTAAGCAATATACTTTCCTTAATCATAAATACGATGGATATAGAAGTGGTCGGCTAATGAAAGAGTGATATCAGGGATTGGCAGACTTCTTTATGTCACTGAAGCATATCTGTGTAGAAGGGCACTATGACCTTTAATTCCGACGACAAGACTGAAAGTGGCATAATTCGTACTGTGAGGAAAAGGTATGGTGGAATTCCTTCATATTGTGTACCCTCTAACAGAAGGTAATGACTCGGGCAAAAGCAAACGTAGATTCAATGACGCTAGGGGGAGAACACAAAAATCGTGAGAAGACATCAATCACGATTCCACCACAGAACTGCGGTGTGCCAATTAGATTAACCATGCACATCATACCGCCATCCGCTTGAACGAAAGATGACATAATGATTCTTGCAAAAAACTTATTACCAACATCTGCAGTACATGGGCTTTAGCATAAATGGCTTATAGCTGTCCCGGAATATGAGGCCAGTTTCTAAAAAAAGGTAAAATCTACGTGAAAAAAATCATTCCGGACATATGAAAACCTTGAATGCCAGGGCAGAATCCAGTGATTTCAAAATAAAATTTCAATTAACCAAAATTTAAATTGAATTCCCTTATTTACCCTGGCTTTACTGGTGGAATGCGACGAAGAGAGCCAGAGTCTGCATTGCCGATAACATTTCTGAAACGAATAACTCATCGAAAATCAGACTTCGTGGAGTAATGCATTGCGACATACTTTTACATCACAGACTATTCAGACAGGCTATGGCCCCATGGTATTTGAACACCTACAATGTACATGCTTTTGGCATCATTTACCATGCATGAGCAATCTCCTGATAATCAATAATGGTGTCAGGAAATGGTACACCTTGAATGTCACTGCATAAATATCAAATATGAATACACACGCTTGAGTTATCAGCAGGCAAATTCGGTGCGTAGTGGCACAGTGATAAAGAGATCGGCTTCGAACTCTGAGAGAACTGGTTTAGAATCCGCTCAAGGGACAATCTTTTTCTTAACAGTGATTTCGAGTCACTTAACAGTGACTTGGGCAATTAATTGATCCCATGCTGCTTCGGCGTCACTAGCCAAGAAAATGACAGTAAGGCCGTGACTTGCGAATAACAGGGACAACATAGTATTCTGGTTTGGCCATAGCAGAATGGAC